CAATGCAGTGAAAGCATCAAGCACGGTGCTGGACCCAGAGTGCCACTATCATGAGCTCTTGAGCCACACACAGCAAGTGCTAGATCATGCCTGTCGAGTGACAGCTCCAAGTGACGCCCATCGAGCTTCTGGCACAGGGCAGGTGCCTGTTCCATGAAGGAACGTATGCATTCAGGAACAGAGCTCAACACTGCCGCCCCACCCACAGCACTTACGTCTCCCATCACATGTGAAATCAATAGAAAGCTAAACTCCCCCTTCAGAAGAAGAAAAAAGAAAACATACCTTCCCCAAAGGTTCTGGGCTTTAGTGCTTAATGTGGGCTGAGCAGCAAATGTCAGGGCCTTCAGAGTATGTATTTCACAGCAAGGAAAGAGAAGAAATTGGGGGTCTTCTTAAGGCCACTTAAGCAGCCTGATTTGGGGACTAGTATTCAAGTTCCAAAGACTTCAATCACTGAGGCTACAGCTGGCGAGGGTTGAAATCAGTCATACGAGAGACCCAGGGAATGCCCCAGTTCCCCAAACCTCACCGATCTGGCCTGACCTCGGCAGAGCTCACTCAGGTGGGCCTGGCTCCCACCTTTGGAGGCCCTTCTTTGCCTCCTTTCCCCTTCTCTGCTACCACGTTCCATGTTTTCAGTTTTGTGCATCTCTCCCCCGAGCCCCAAGGAGATAAGAAGGTACCTGGAAGGGTGATCAGGACTCAGAGGAACCAAAACCAGCTCTCCAGCCTCCAGGCTCACAGGGCAGTCTGGAGTCACCTGCTGGGCACAGCCAGGTGAGGAGGGAGCCAGAGGTCTCATCCAGCTTGTAGGGGCCTGAGGAGGCAGGTGCATGACAGGCTGCAGAGGGTCAAACCCCCAGCCTTCTTAAATGAGGCCACAGCAGCAGTGGGAAGTCCTGGAACCCACTAGTCCCTCCCGCCCTGGCAAATAAATGCCGAACGCCCCCTATTTCCTGCTGTTAAAACCTGTGGAAAACAAGACCTCCCAGCTCCTATCCGTTATTCATACCTCAATAGGAGTAAATCGGGGAAATGTGACTAGTCGTGTGATGGATGCCAGGGAATGGGGTTGAGATTTGGGGCAGCCCAGAGACCCTCTTAATGCCAGGGGATCTGTCTAGATGTGTAACCTCCGCGTCTCTGAGTCTCTGCAAAATGGTCCTCCAGCACCTGCTTGCTGGAATATTTCCCCGGGGACTAACGACACGAGGTAGGTTAAGAACTCAGCACTATACCCAGCACAAAGTGGGTTCTCCCGGGGTCTGCGCCAGTCGCAGCGCCCGCGAGCCGGCTGACCACCAGAGGGCGCTGTAGCCAGGCCGGGGCCGCGGCCTCCCTCCCCCGTGCCTCTCAATCTTGGTCAAGGCACTCTGGCAGGGGTACCTGGGGCCAGAGGTCGGGGCCTCCCACACACAGGGGCTGGGTGGTACTGGCTGGTGACTTTGCCTTCCAGGGTGTGGCCTGCTCGGAGAGCTTTCCCCTGCTTCACCAGGCCGACTGGGCAAAATGCAGATTCTCAGATCTCACTCAACTGGCTCTCAATCCTGGTGAGCATGGGATCCACCCAGGAGCTCTGACAATACTGACGCCCTGGCCTCCTCAGAGACCACCATCTTATTAGACTGGGGTCAGCCTGGGCATCGGGTTCCAAGGTACAGTCAGGGCTGAGACCTGCTGGTTAGAACTGGGCACAGTGGCCGTGTCTGATCAGTGTGCTTTGCACACTGAATTTGAGAGCCACCACCTTAAAGGGACGTATGACCTGGGCAGTGCATTCCCTCATTCACCCTTCATCTCTGTAGCCCTGCCCTGTGCTCCCAGACCTCTGGGTGCCTTCACGAGCTGGCACATGGAACCACAGGGTGGAATCACCAAACCTTTGGTTCTCTAACTTGCTTTTTTGTTTTTTTATAATTTTTTTTATTTATTTTTTTCCCCCAAAGCCCCAGTAGATAGTTGTATGTCACAGCTGCACAACCTTCTAGTTGCTGCATGTGGGACGCGGCCTCAGCATGGCGGGAGAAGCCGTGTGTCGATGCGCGCCCGGGATCCGAACCCCGGCCGCCAGCATCGGAGCGCACACACGTAACCGCTAAGCCACGGGGACGGCCCATCTAACTTGCTTTTTTTGATCTCTTGGCCCTGTACCACTTTCCACGTCAGGCAAGTATTTAACCAGCTCCTCAACTGCTGGGCATTCTGCTTGCTTCCAGTTTTTCCCAATGAATCCATGCAATATTTCCCCAGGGAAATATTCCAGTGGGCTTTCTGGGCCAGCCTGCCAGGGCCTGTGGGTGAGGTTCCTCTGGGTAGCTCTGCCTGAGAAGGGGGATCGCTAGGTCATGGTGTGGGTACATTTTGGTTTTAACTGAAACTGCCAAGTTGCCCTCCTGCAGTCCAGTCAGATCCGGGGGTTCCAATGTACAGCTGGCAGGCCTGCTGGCCTGAGCCTGTTTCAGATCGGTGAGGGGATGGGGACACAGTGGCTGCTGTTTAGTAAGCGTCTGCTCTGTCCTGAGCCCCTGGGATGCGCCTACAGACATCATCCTGGTCCACAAGCAGCAGCATGGTTCTCCCCATTTTACAGTAAAGGAAACTGAAGCTCCGGAGGTTGTCACTCACTGAGGTCACACAACTAGGGACATGCAGGATTTGAACCCAGGACTATCTGACTGCAGAGCCCATGCTCCTGCCCCCCAGGCTCTCCTGCATCTGTGTTATTCTGCCCAGCACTGAGTGTGAGGCCTAGCACACACTTCAGGTGGGGCACATTGCTCCAGCCAGCCCTTGCAGTGGGGGCCATGCTCACTGCTCTGTTTGCACACCTACTTGGTGGGGGTGGAGGGCAGCCTGCTTGCTTCTGGACCCCCAGATCCCAGTGAAAGTGTGGCTCTGGGCCCAGCCACGAGAGGTATTTCCTGAGGCCACCTGGCACCTACCCAACTCTGGGAACAGGCCTGGAGCTGCACAGCCTCCCAGGCAGTTTGGCAGTGTCCCCAGCAGCTACTTTCCCATCCCCTAGGCTTTGCCCAGCGCCACAGAGTACCCAGCATCAGTCCTTAAGGGGCTCCCCAGAGCCAGGAGCTCCACAAGGCAGCAGGGATTAATAGTCCTGTTTTACAGAGAGGGGAACTATGGCTCGATGAAGAAACTCGTGGAGGCTACACACTGCGAGACTCAAACTCCAGGCTCCCAATTCCAGGCACATATTCTTCCCACCACCCTCCCCTGCCTCTGGCTGATGAACTACTCACTCCCCCATTGCACTCAGGACACTGGGACTCGGTGAGCAAGGCTTGACCTCGGAGCTGCAGGAGGATGGTGAGAGGCTATGAATTCAAACACCAACTGTATTTTTGTTCTAAGCCCACCCTGGACAGGCCCGGGGGTTCTTGGGGCCTATGTGTGTTGCAGCAGAGGTAGGGGACAAGGGGTCCCCAGGCACCTCCTCTGGGCTCATACAGCCCCAGTGTCCCACAGCACAGCTCTGCCATGTTGTCTGTCTCCTCCACCTGACTGTGAGCCCAAGGGGACAAAGCCCCACTTCTGGTTTTCACTGCTGTAAGCAGAGCAGGGATTCAACAAGTATTTCCTGAGAGGATGGAGCGTGGAGAGGGGAGGGGAGCATTTGGTCTCTCTGGGGAGAGTTTGGACCCCCATCCCTGCAGTCCCCTCCCTTGGCCAGCACCAGCCCTACCTCACCTGGCACCTCTCCAGCTGTAGAAACTTGTACCTCAGCCAAGAAAAATGAGCTTGCTGCAAGTCTGCTGCTTGGCTGCCAGGGCCAGCCAATCCAGCGCTGGGGTGCCTCACCCACCTCCAGTGACAAAGGGCCAGGGCTGGACCAGAAGGGCTGGCGGGTGGGCTCTGCCTCGAGGCCTGAGCCCCAGAGAGCTGGCAGGATTAGTGGTAGGGAGAGAGGCGGAGAGGCAGAAATGGGAGGCGGAGAGTGGGAGACATGGCAGGGGTGGGAGGGAGAGCTGCATGTGCTAGGGGGACACCGCCCCACCTTCATCTCTTGCAGCCAGTATCCTCACTGCACAACGGGCTCTCAACCTCCACCCAGCCACTCAGCATCTTCTCACCCTTTTCTCCTACCCTGCTGCCCTCCCCTTCCCCGGAGGTAGGCAGGGCTCCTGAGAAATAGGGTCTAGAACTCAGACACAGACTCCTCTGTGGCAAAGACAGCAATAAATAGTAATGAGATGTGGAGTTATATGAGTATCGTCTTGCCTTGTCCCCATTTTACAGATGAGGAAACCGAGGCTTAAAATGATGAAGTGACATGCCCACATCTTTTGGCTACTCTGCAATTTGAATCCAGGTCTGCCCAAAGCCTGAGCCATATTTCCTTCCTCTTCTTTAACCTCCTCCCCAGCCTGGGCCAGCCTCCAGGCCTTTGCTCACACCTTCAGCCAGGGCTTCCACCTCTCTGCACTTCCAGACTGGCCCCACACTCTCCTGAGACAGACCCACTGCAGCTGGTCCCACCTCCTCCTATCACCCGACAGAGACATCCGGGGCTCTCTCAGCCACCCAGAAAATTCTTCTGTTTTAGGCCCAGGGCCCTAGAGCCAGAGGAAACCCATAAATACAAACACATTTGCATGAAAGCCCCAGAGTCTGCATCTGCAGCTAACAGCTCCATTAGCTTCCAGGACAGAGCTGCCAGAAGTGGGAGTAGTGGCCACCAGCTTCCAGGGACAAACGCGTCCCAACAGCCAGGTCAGGACCATGTGGTGTTTATTTAGACACACAAATAAAAGAACCTGGTGGTTCAAACAGCTTGTGCTCCTTTTTTTTTTGCCATATATATATATGTATGTATGTTATATATATATATGTATGTTATATATATATGTTATATGTATGTATATAACATATACATATGTTATATGTTTATATGTTTTTTAAAAGATCAACACATCACTAGTCCCCCATCTGTTCTTTCTCTACTGAGCAATATATACAGCCTATTATATATATATGTGTGCATATATATATATATTTTTTCAATAGATAACTACCTTCAAGTAATGAAACACAGGATTTACAATTTCCCTCTGAGGGCAGAGGAAAGGCAAATTCACACACAGTTCACAGAGGAAGTACCATAAGAGCCCAGCCAGACAGGAGCCGAGGCCCCTCCTCGGGGTGACAAGAGGGCAGCGGCAGAAATCATGACAATCACACTGTTGCTCATTGTGGGCGGCTGGCAGGTGCCGATGAAGAGGGGGCCCCAGCCTGCTCTGCCCAGGCTGCGTGGGCGGGCAGTGCTGGCTGACCCAGGCTCCCTGGCTGGGGTGGGTTGGGGGGCACGTCTGGGAACCTCACTTTTCCAGCAGCCTCTCGAATTTGGGGTTCACAAAGGAGAAGCCAGCGAACGCTGCTTGGTCCATGGAGTCAATGAGGTTCTTGTCACTGTAGGAGAGGCGCGCCTTCTCGTTCAGGAACTCCTGGTCGAAGTTGCTGTAGTCTCCAGGGGACTTCTGCAGGCAGAGGGAGGGGAGGCTGAGCGGGACCCAAGGGGCGGCCTTCTGAAGGTTCCCAAGTTTCCTGGGACTGCCTCCCAAACACCGTGGAATCCCCGTCAGGCTAGGCCAGGCAGAGCTGTCCTTATTAAGAACAGAAGAGGGAGTCTCTCCCAACAGCCTGAGAGGATCCCCAGCTGGAAGGCAGATGCTGTTTCCCCAAGGGGATGAGGGAAGGCAGCAGAGGGCTCTGGGCCTGGATGAGGAAAGGTGGGCATCGTCCTGAGCAGGCTTCTGGCAAACTATAGCCCACGGGCCAAACCCTGCCCACCGCCTGTAGCAGGTCTCACAAGCTAAGAATGGGTTTTACATTTTTAAATGTTTAGGAAAAAAATCAAAAGGACAATAATATTTCACAACATGTGAAAATTAAATGAAATTCAAATTTCAGTGTACACAAATAAAGTTTTATTAGTACATAAACACCCACTCATCAACATATTGTCTGTCTACGGCTGCTTTGAGACTGTCTGGCCTGCAAAGCCTAAAACATTTACTATCAGGCTGTTCACAGGAAAAGTTTGCCAACTCTCTGCTTCTGAGGATACAATGAAATAGTAATAGAGAGAGATCTCAAGCTGGTGGCCTTTAGACCCAATTGAGCTGGCAGGTACAATCATTTTGACCAGCACTGGATTTTAACGGAATTTAAGCCAACTTTTTTTTTTTGCCGAGGAAGACTCACCCAGAGCTAACATCTGCTGCCAATCTTCCTCTTTCTGTATGTGAGCCGCCACCACAGCATGGCCACTGACAGATGAGTGGTGTAGGTCCGTGCCCGGGAACCGAACCCGGGCCACCGAAGCGGAGCATGCCAAACTTGACCACTAGGCCACTGGGGCAGGCCCAAGCCAATTATTTTAAAATTGGGCAATTTGACATAAAAATCCAGATATCTGGCTTCTTTTGAAAACTGGCAGAGCAGAGGAACCTTGGGCCTATTTCCCAGCATGTCCACTCTTGGCACTGAAGCTCCCTTGGGCAGCTTGCCACAGGCCCCACCACTTCCCACTGACAGGGACTGCTGATCAGCACACCTGCCTTGTGTTTCTTAGTGCAGAGAAATAAATCTATCCTTCTTTCTATCAAAAACAAAAAACTGAAAGCAGGCTGTGTGATGTTCCTACAGCAGGCCTGGCCTGTTAGTGACGTGCCCAGCCCAGGAGGCATCCGAGTTTGAGATCCCTGGAGTAGGGGAAGTGCTCTGCAGCCTCAAAGCACAAATGTGGGGCACGTTACACATGCTGCCCAGTGGGAACAGCATGTCTGGATGGAGGAGGGGAAGCAAAGGAGAGAAGGGGAGAGGGAGGGAAGAACTGTGATCAGAGACGGGCCACAGAGCCCAACTTCTGAGGTGTTTGGGGTGCTCTGAATTCTGGCCCCAACCTGCCTCTGCTCTCCTGCTGGCTCCTTGGTGGCCTTTGTAGATTGTGGGCCTGTGTGCAAACCATCCCTCTTCTACCTGGAATGACTCCCAGCTGCTGTCTGCCTGGCCCAGTCTTCCCAGCCCTCCCACATCCCACTTCTCAGACCCACCCCATTCTCTGCATCCTGGGCTCCTGCTGACAGCCCCTCCCAATGACAACTGATCATGTGTGGCCTTGTGACATCTCTCGTACTGTTGTCTTATATCATAAATGATCATCAGTGTGCAAGGGTCTTATCTCTCCGTGGAGCTGGGGCTCCTCCAGCTCTAGGACTCGGCCTCCCACTTTCCTGTGCAGCCCAGCATGGTGCTCTGCATTTCCAGTATTTATTGGAAAATGGATTGGATGGATGGAGGGAGGGAGAGAAGCCTTAACTCTGATTCCCAAAGCATAGTCCCCTGCATATAGTGGGCATTAAAGAATGTATGTTAAAGGATGGCTGGATGCACAGTTCCCAATGTTTGTTGAATGACTGAGTGAGGAGAGAGAGGGTGAGAATATAAGGGTGGGGTTGTGACAGAACCTGCCAGGGAGGTCAGGGAAGCAGGTTTCCTGGACAAAGGGAGAGGAGGAAAGCATGTAAACGATGCAGGAGAGAGGCAGGGCAAAGGAGGAGACACCCACCCAGAAGGCAGTGGGGGCAAGGTTAAGGGGGGGGCCCCTACCAGAGTGGGTCACGTACCACTTTGGGCTTGAAGGGCGGCTCCACCGCACGTTTCTCCAGCAGAGTCCAGTTGATGGTCTTGAAGAAGGAGTGGCCTTTGATGTTCCCTGTCACTCCCAGCCTCTTGGTTGGGTCTCTTTCAAGCAGCTGCAACCCAGCAGGGACCCTGGTTAGCACCCGAGGGCTGTGGGCGACCGGAGCCTCAGCAAATCCCAAGCAGGCCCCGGGGGGACCCAGGCAGGCCTGGCCCGGCCCAGCAGCACAGGCCAGGGCCTCTGGGGCTGAGGGGAGCCTCTCTGGCCTGCTGTGTTCCCAGGGCCCCCTGGGATAGCCGGGACCCTCGAGCAGAAGCAGGGGCTTCTCTGCAGGGGCTGTTCACTGAGTGTCTGCTCTCTGCCTGGCACAAACATGAACATCATGCATTTACGCTCTCTTCCCAACTCTGTGAGGGAGGTTCCCTCGTAACCTCCACTTGGCAGATAAGGAGACAGACTCAGAGTCTAGCCTCAGGTCTGCCTGCCTCCTGACCCCAAGCTCGTCATCACCTGCCAGGATGAGTCAATGCAGGCACTCAAACAGGAGCTCCAGGTAACGTGGGGACAGAGCAACCCCCTCAGTGTGTTAGGACGGAGCATCATGAGCCTGCCACTCCAGAGACAGGAGGCTCCCGGTATTCCCGTGACCCCATGTCCGCCAGCCCCTGCCCCAGCCACCCTAGCCCAGGGCCTCCCACCTTCTCCAGGATGTCCTTGGACTCCTTGGTGATCCAGCGGGGATAATGCGGTGTGTCCACACGGATAGACTCGAAGAGTTCATCCTCATCGTCACCGTGGAAAGGGGACTGACCAATGAGCATCTCGTAGACAAGGACTCCGAAGGACCACCAGTCCACGGAGAACGAGTACTTCAGGCCCTGCAGGATCTGGGGCAGGAGAGGAAGAGCGGGAGCTGAGAGGGGACCCCTGAGCACGAGCCCTGGCCAGGCCTCCTCACCCCCCTGCCTTTGGCTCTGACACTGCTGTCCTTGGGAAGCCTTCTCGGCCCCACCCTGTTGAGACAAGGTGTCTGACTGGGCTGGTGGCCAGGAGGGTGCCCGCTCACCTCAGGGGCGATATAGTCAGGGGTGCCGCAGAAGGTGCTGGCCTGTTTCTCCCCAAATATGTTCTCCTTGCACATCCCGAAGTCGGCAATCTTGATGTGGCCGTCCTGGTCCAGCATCACATTATCCAGCTTGAGGTCCCTGAGGGGAGGGGATAGGAAAGGGAGTGGGCAGAGGCCAATTCCCCCCTCTTCCCAGTCTCCATGTCCCCATTTTCAGCCCTGTAAGCCTAGGACTCTCCCCAAGGGGACCAGGGAATGAGGAAGAGAACAGGAAGCAGAGGGGAAAGAGATGCCAAAACAGGTGCTTCCTGCAAGCCACCTACTGTGCGCTGCATGCTGGACACATCATCCCATTTCCCGAAGCCCAAAACGAGGCTCAGAGAGGGGATGTCACTCGCCCAGGGTTACCTAGCTGGTCAGCAGCAGGAGTGGCTCCCGGCTCAAGTTTGTCTGTCTCCACAAGGGCAGGGACCATGTCCATCTTTACACAGTTAGTTGTTTGAGTAGATGGTACATGGCACATGGTAACAAGTACTAAAAAGGGGCAAACAGCATATAGTCTATCTTCCACTAACCTCGATCACCAGGCCCTCCCTAGAAGATTCTAGGCATGGACAAGCACATTACACTGTGGATCTCACCCCCACATTTTAAAACCTGAACCTAATATTCAATACACGCTGTCCCACCGATTGGTTTTCCACTTGACAACATATCTTGGCATCGTCCCCCATCAGTACACAGAGCACAGCCTCAGCCTTTTTGATGGGTGCATAGTAATCCACTGTAGGATGGGAATGTCATTTATTGGGCGAGAATTTATAGAACCAGTCCCTATTGGTAGAAGCTTAGATTGCTCAGATGGGGCTTCAGAGCGAGACTGATGGCTCCAAGGAAGGGAGACACTGTCCTAGTCAGTGCCACACTCCCGCCAATAGCGCCGAGTATGGGCAGTGAGTTCCCAGTCCCTGGAGCTGTGCCAGCCTCAGATGAGGGGCCATAGGGAATTCTAATAATGGAGTAGGAGTTTAGGCAGATACTCAACTAAGGACTGACTCCAAGTGGAGATGGGGCCATAGCTGGGCTGACCAGGTCCCACTCAGAGCACTTCAGAGGATATAATGGGGTTAGAGCTTCCCATCAGAAAACCCCCAAACCCCAACTCCCACACCTGTAAATGATCCCCTTGTTGTGTAGAAACTGCAGTCCACAGATTATCTCAGCTGCATAAAACCTGGATGAGAGAGAGACAAAGTGTCCGGGATTTCCGAGACCAGCCCCTGCTTCTCCCTGGGCCCTCATCTCCAGCCCCAGGGGCAGGAAATGCTGCAAATAACTCCACGGACAACCTGGGCCTGATCAAGCACATCTTGTTCAGGCAAGTGGGGGCTGGCAGCCAAGGCAGAAGAGAAAATTATGAAGGAAAGCTCCAAATAAGCTAATCCTCTGTCATAAGAGTGTATGTATTTAGGGCCGGCCCCGTGGCTTAGTGGTTAAGTGCGCGCACTCCGCTGCTGGCGGCCCGGGTTCGGATCCCGGGCGCGCACCAACGCACCGCTTCTCCAGCCATGCTGAGGCCGCGTTCCACATACAGCAACTAGAAGGATGTGCAGCTATGACATACAACTATCTACTCGGGCTTTGGCGGGGGTGGGAATAAATATACAAAATCCTTAAAAAAAAAAAAAGAGTGTATGTATTTATATAGATATACATGTGTCTACACACACACAGAGTCTGGGGGGTGCATGATAGTCTGGGGGCCACACCCCAGAGTCCTGTGTTGTGTAGGATCTGTGAGGCTGCCCTGGCCAAGGCCCAAGGAGGTGACAGGACCCTGTGTGCCTGTGCTAGGCTCCCAGCTCACCCACCGCCCATGGCTTCCCACATGGTGGGGATGGCCTGGCTACCCCAAATCTCTCCAACCCCAGCTCTAGCCCAGGCTGGCTTCTTCAGGGAGAGGGAAGCAGGGATGGAGGACAGACTGGCAAAAGGCTCTTCCCCCAACAAGGCCCTCACGTACGTGGCACGGTAGAGTTCGAAGCGGCCTTTGTCTTGGATGTGGTACATCAGGTCCCCCCCGTTGAGGAACTCCATCACAAAGAACAGGTGGTCCTGGGGTGGGGATGGTGGTAAGCATAGGCATAGGAACCAGCAGGAGGCTCCCTCGCTGAGGGCCACCAGGGGCAAGCCCCAACAGGAAGCAGGGGACAACTCTGCCCTGGGGTACGTGAGGGGAGGAGGATGGCCCTGCCCTGGGAAGTCTGAGGAGGGAGACACAGCCTTGCCTTAAGTGGTCTGAGGAGGAAGAGAAGGCCCTGCCTGAGTGGGAAACATGGCCTGCCCTGGGGGCCTGAGGGGGGCTGTGGCCCCGGGGGCAATGACAGTGGGAGGGCCGGGCACCTTGGTCTGGAAGGTGCAGAAGAGGTGGGTGAGAAAGGGATTCTCCCAGGCGAGCGCCAGCACCCGCTTCTCCACCATGGTACACTCCACGTCATCATCGATCAGAACCACGTCCTTCTTGAGAGCCTTGATGGCGAAGAACTCCTTTTTGCCCTTCAGCTCTGCAAGCAGCACCTGACGGGTGGGCAGCAATGCTGAGCAAGAAAGGGCCCGCCAAAGACCAGGGCACCACAGCCCCACCCAACCAGGAAGAAGCCAGGTCGGGTGGGAAGCAGGTGCCCCTGGGCTCCTGGGCCCGGGTCCCTTGGGCTGCCCCCGAGCCACACGGCCTCTCACCTTCCCGAAGCTGCCTTTGCCCAGGACCTTGTGGAAGATGAAGTTCTCAATGTGGCACCTGTTGCTGCCCTCCCAGATCTTGCCATAGGTACTGCTGTCTGCTCAAGATATGGCACTTCAGTCTCAGGTCTCTGCCTGCTGAGTCCCCTCCTCTGAGGCCCAGGGGTGGGCTGGGGTGAGGGGCCTCAGAGAGGAAGGGCTCCCTCCCCACGGGTGGTGCCTCCTCTCGGATCTCACTCAACAATGGAGGGAGGCCAGGCCCCATCCTGAGGCCTAGTGGGGAGTGGGGGCTTTCCTGGGGGAAATGGGCCCAAGCTTCACCTGGGGCATCATCTCCAGAGACTCCTGGCTTCTTCTCAAAATTCTGGTAGATCCCAACATACTCTGAAGGCCCGGACTCCGACCTCCGGGTGGGTCTCTGAAGGGGGTGGTGGATGTTGGGGGTTAGGATGGTCGGTTATACCACAGTCAGAACTTCCAGCCCAAAGGGAGGACCCCAACCATCCATAACTCCACCCTCAATACCAATGGGGAACAGCAGGGGCAGAGCCCAGGACCTCCAGGTGGTGTGCCCACATATGCGCACATGCACACACACCCACACCCACACACACACTTCCAGGGCACAGGGACGCCTCAGGGGTCTGAAAGGCACTGATTACAAGCAAAAACTTTATAAATTGGATACCACCTTCCCAACCACTTAATCAAGAGACTTTTATCTGTGTTATTTTCATTTGTAATTGATTCTAGAATTTTACCTTAAAGTTTGGTGGCATCCCTCGAGCCCTACCCACATCCAACACACACATACACAAAACATACACAAAAAGGCTTATAGTTCAAAGTGCTCCAATATAGCAGGCCCCCAGGTTCACCCTCAAGTACAGAACTGCTTGAATAACTAATTTCTCGTGAGAATAAGCCCACCACCCTCTGTGCCTAATTCTTGAACTGGATCTTCCAGGAGTGGGGTCTTGGGTATAAAAGGCCCCACTGTGGTTCCCCGGGAATAGGTGTGAGCTCTGACTGTCCCCAACCCCACCACCCTCTCCCAGAGTTCCCATGGCACCCGTCCACCTGGCTGACTTGGTTCAACGCCTCAGCCAAGAGCTTCTGGTTGATGCCACAGAGGTTGGCCACCTTCCTCTGGCACTTGTGGTGCACGTTCATGCCACAGTCTGGGGGAAGGAGAAGCAGGCTCATCAGGGCCCCTGCCCAGGCAGGGCCAGACAGGCAGCCAGCAGGCTCCGGGAGAACTGTCCCCATGCCCCAGGCCTAGCCAAGGCAGGGAGGAGTGGAGGAGAGAGCAGAGGAAGGAGAGCCTTGGTGGGCTCTGCTGGGTTTCTTCTTTTTAGAAAACTGTACCTGAAGCCATCATAAGCACTTCAAATCTTTCATTACTTATTTTTTATTTAAAGAAGAAAAAGAAAAAGCAGAAGATATGAGACCTAACTCTAAACGCTTCAGAGAATGTCTGGGACAACCTGGACAAGTCACTTTTCCTCAAGGGACCTCTTGTGTCTCATCTAATCAGTGAAGCCTGGAGTAGGGAGGGGGCGGGGAGGAGCGTTTGCTGAGTGACTGTTAGTGTGCGGCAGGTCTTGGCTGAGCACCTTCTGCCCTCATGTCCCTCAGTGACTCTCTGGGTCCTGCTCTAGCCTTACCCTCATTTTACACTTGAGCACACTGAGCTCAGAGGGGTGGGGTCACCTGTCTGGTGATCACACAGCAGGTAAATAGTAAAGACAGTGGGGCCCGTGGGGAGGGGCCACCAAGGCCTCACCCACATGAAATCCCCAAGAGAGGGGGCAAAGTCAGCTGGAGTTGACAAGGTCCGGTGGGTAGGCTCCAGCTGGGAGCACCCTCCCACCCCCTCCCCAGCCCCCAGAGCTGGGTGATACACACCTTCACACTTTAATCCCTGCTTCACCAGCCCCCAGAGCAGGCTGCCACAGTGGTCACAGAAGGTGGGGCTCATGTAGTTGTAAACCTTGAACCGGTGTGGCATGTCGATGTTGAAACGTTCTTTCTGGAACTGGAGTGGGGGGGGTCATAGGTTGAGGGTCACACGCCAGCTCTAGCCCCTTCCTCATCCCCTAGCTCCCCCCCAACCCCACGCCTGGCAGGATGCCCAAGAGGGACCCACTGGGGACTAGGAAATCTGGAGGTCCAAGTAAGGACCGAGAAATATGGGGAAGAAGGGTGAGCCCCACAGGGAAGGGGTGGGGAGAGCCCAAACCCCTCCCACCTGGCCAAGCCCCCCAGAGCCCCACCCTGGGCCCAGCCTCACTATGGTGTCCCGGCTGTTAGCCGCGGTGCCGGTGCACCGGCCAATGATCTTGTCGATGCATTTCTTGTGGATGGCAGCATTGCATTCTTGAGGAGGCGCAGGCCCAGGAGGCAGATGGGAAGGCACCAGGAGGGGTAGAGTCTGAGCCGGCGACCGCTGGCCCAGTCCAGCCCTCTATACAAAGCCACCGTTCTGCCTGACTGCCCACACCCTCACCCCACAGAGGCCTCAGGCTCAGAGCTTGATTCTTCTCTCCTCCCGCCAGCCCTCGCAAGAGGGGCCTGAGAAGGATGGGCAGGGCGGACAGCCTGATTAGGGAAGGCTCAAGGAGTCCTAGGGGGCAGGATGGGGGTGGAAGTGAGGGGCGTGGGGTGCAGTGAGAGAACTCGAGGCAGGAGAGCCCCCCTCCCTCTTCTATACCCCAGGACAGCAAACAGCTCCTAAGCTCTCTCTCACACGTGCACACGCAGACACACGCACCCCAACAAAGACACGTGGACATACATACACAGCACGTGTAATGACAAGGCTTCTTATACAGAATGCTACCATGTGCCAGTCACACCCAAAATACAGCTTTACGTAGCTTATCCCATCTGATCTTCACAATGGCTCTATTATCCCTATTTTATAGATGAGGAAACTGAGGCAGAGAAGCTAAATAAGGCCCCACAGCTAGGAAGTAGTAGAGCTGGGATTCACCGGGCAGTCTGGCTCCAGAGCCTGTGCTCACAAGCACCGGCCCATGCCGCCTCGTGCACGCACCATGTGGAGACAGGCGTGCTCACACGTGTGTGCCCAGATACACACGTATCTAACAAGCACACATGCAGCTGGGGGTGTGCTGGTAAAGGTCCCGTAGCCTTTCTGGGGGAAAAGAACCCTGACGTGTAAGCAGTGGCTGATTTGTGTAAATACTCTACTGGGGCCTACTGCAGGCTACCAGTGTGATGTCATGGAACACAGAGATGGGAAGAGATACACACAATTGGCTTCTGTGAGCCAGAGCAAGCTGGCTCCGGCACTCACTGGACGAAGCTACTGTATATACATGCACTCCGACGTGGCAAATCTCATGTGCACACACTCAGGCACACAGAGCCCCTCGTCCACATACACAGTCCCAACAAAGGGACACAGGCTTTCCTGTGAACGCACGCAGGCACTGGCAGGCACACGTGTACACACACGTGTGCATACAAACCGGGCTGTGGAGACACTTACGCCTGCATTTGTAGCCTTGCTTGTTGAGACCCCTGAAAGGCAAATCCCGTTAGGGTGAGTGCGGGGAAGCGCTGGGTGGGAGGGCCTCCCTACCCCCACCTCACCCCCAGTGGGCACAGCCAGCCCTCACCAAACAAACTCTTTGCACACAGAACAGAAGGTGGGCTGCCCAAAGAAGGTGGCGATAAACTCATGGTTCTTGATGTAGTGGATTTTGGCCTGTTTGATGGCTCCGCGGCGGTTCATCGTTGGGAACTTGGCCTCGTCTTCACCCCGAAGAGACTGCTTGCAATCTGGGGGCCATGGAGTGATGAAATCAGCCCCAGCCCCTGAGGGTGGGTGACCCTGGACAGACTGCCGATGAGGGCTGCTTCCCCAAACCTCTGTCCTGGCTCTGGCCTCTGAACCTACATCCCAAGCCCAGGCAGGGAGGGTCTTACCTATGTCTTCCAGAAAATACTGCACAGACATCAACACCTTGGCCTGGGGTTGCAAGTCCAGCTGCAGGGGTAAGGATGAGGGGGTCAATGAGGGCGGGCCTGGGCCAAGCCAGACTCAGAACCCGCCCCCATGGCTGGTCCCCAAGGCCAAGAGAGCCCTGGCAGCCTAGCCGGACACCTGTCTGCCCAGTGTGGGCAGGGCCCCACGCCTGAGCCCCGCCCCCACCTCCCATCCCCCACCCAGGGGTATTATTACATTTGGGGAAGTGAAAGGATCCAGCCCACACCCAGCCTGGCCACATGGCCCGGGAACAGAGTGGGAAGGGAAACTCCCCACCCCTACCCCGGCTGCTCCCTCAACAAGGGTCTTAGAATGGAGGCACCCTGTGCCCATGTGCACATGCAGGGACACAGACACACACATACTGACACACCCATGCTGGTTCTCTCTCTGTCTGTGTCCGGAGCTCCAAGGTCTGGTCTCCTTACACAGACTGGCTGGTTCTGAGGGCAGGACCCTCACGTCCCCCAGGCCCCAGGCCTGGTGACTGACATTGTCCCTTGGGGTAGTGGACAGAGAGCACAGCAAGTGTCTCTGCCTAACTGGCCGAGGGGCAGGGCAGCCCTGGGTCAACTGCTCTCTCAGCCCAGCCCCTCCACCCCTCACTGCAGGCTGACCACAGTCCTCAAGGTCACAGGGTCTTTTCCAGTGGGGACATCTTGGCCGCAGGAGTCACCCCAGGGGGCAGGGGATGCTCTGCCAGAGCTGGCATCCTGTGGCATTGAAGGACACACAGCCACATGCATTTGCAGAGTCCTGGTTTCAGCAGGTGAGTGGCGGGCCATCAGCTTTCCCCTTCTCCCACCTCCTTGCTGTTGAAGATCATAACTGTTGTCCCCTCTGCCTGCCTGAGCCTGGAATATCTGCGAAGATTCCAAACAGAACTAGGAACAATGGGTGCCTCTGAGAAGGGGGCCTGGCTGGGTGTTGGGGCTGGGACACACCCTAACACACAGTTTGAAATGTTTTACTACGTGCATATCCTGCCTTTACAAAATTAAAATGAAAAAAAGGAGGGGCAGTATGAGGACGGCTCTCTTCAGCACCCACTATGTCCCCAGTTCCAATAAGCCCTTAAATCCAGTCACTCATTTCATTTGAACAACTGACCCCAAGGTAGGGTCTTTTAGTAGCTTCTCCTTTCACAGATTTTGAAACAGAGGCTCAGAGAGGCTGGGGAGTTGATAAATCGCAGAGCCGGGGTTCGAATCCAGGCTGTGTGGCTGCAGAGCTGCACCAGTGCCAGAGCAGGGCCCAGAGCCCTGCAGCCACGCTCACTCAGCGCGCCCACACATGTGCGCACACACGACCACAGCTCGCCGCCACTCACCCAGAACTCGGCCTTGCCGTTGTTCTTCTTGCAGCGCTCGGCCAGCACTGACACACCCACGGTCACCTCAGACACTGGCTCCTCGGCGGCCCGCATCAGCACGATCTGGATGACGCGGCCCTCGTAGATGTGGGCATCGAATGTCGACTTCCACTCAGGGTACATGGTGGGCTTCTTCTGCACCAGCGTCTTCCCACGCTCTGCAACGGGGCCAGGCAGGCAAGGATGGGCTAGGGCCCCTCTGTGCCTCCCACAGCCTTCAGCCCAGATAGAATCTGCCCGGCTCTCTGTCCCCGAGGGCCCGTCATGGCTTCCCAGTGTCCTTGGACCGAGTCCCCACTGGTCAGCCTTCACGACTGTGCTCTGCTCACCTCACCAGCCCCATCTCACTCACAACACAGAACTGCCAGCAGCTCCTCTAGGGCGGTTTGCTAGGTCCCACCTCCAGGCCTTTGCTCCTGCTGTTCCCTCTTCCTGTGACTCTTCCTCCAGCCCTACTTAGATGTCACCTTCCCTTATGCACTCACTCATTGAACACATGCTGAGAGCTCCCACAAGCCCACCATGGGACTAGAGGTGAGGAACACTGCAGAGACAAAAGTTACACCCAGTGGCTGACCCCTAGAGCCCCACTCCCGGGTGGAGACATGAACCAGTTCATCCCTCAAGTGAACGTTAAATCACAGCTGTGATGAGACTGAAGAGGGCAAGGCTGGTGGTTCTAGACCTGCTCATGGTCTGTGGCCCACACCAGCCAAAGGGTCGGGGAAGGCTTCCTGGAGGAAGGGACAGCTCAGCTGAGACCTAAGAGAGCTAGGGGTTCACCAGGTGAGGGCAGAAGCAAGAAGAAATGGCATGAACAACAACAAACAAACACATAGAGACAGAGATTGGACTGGTGGTTACCAGAGAGGAAGAGGGGAGGGAGGAGGGCGAAAGGGATAATTAGGCACACGTGTGTGGTGATGGATTGTAATTAGTATTTGGGTGGTGAACATCAGAAGATGATGTAATCCATGCAGAAATAGAAATATAATGATGTACACCTGAAATTTATACAATGTTATAAACCAATGTTACCACAATAAAAAAACAAACGAAAAAGCATACACACACACACACAAAAAAAGAAGAAATGGCATGAGATGTTTGTCTCTTCCAGGAAGACCTCCCTGACCCCAGCCTGGGATGCTGCCTTCTCTGGGCTTCCCTATCACAGGACTCACTGTATGGCTCCCTCACCTGACTGTGAGCCCCCAGAGGGCAGGGCCAGGTCAGCCCTGGAGCATGGCAGTGTCCTCAGTGCCCAGCGCGGGGCCTGGTACAGATGGACACGTGGGAATTGTTGGGTGAAACAACCAATGGGGGAAGAGCCAGAAGCCCCCAACCCCAGAGTGGGCTCCCTGTAGCCAGTGCTGGAGGCCCTATAGGCACTCGGTGGCCTCTGCTGTCCTGCATCCACAGTTGGGCTGGGCAGGGAGACGAGGACAAGGAAGAGAAGGATCCCTCGGAGGTTCTAGGGGAACAAGGCGCAGCCCCTCCAGTACCTCCGGCTGGGCCTGATTCCCAGCCCCACTGGCTGCCGCCACCTCTCCAAGGTCCAACCTCCAGCCCTACCTGTGCTGAGCGCCTCCTTCATCTTCACGGCACAGAAGGGCTGGCTTGCATCGTCTGCGGCCTGCAGGGAGCCCAGCTCATAGGAGTTGAAGGCGATGCGCAGGAACGGCGCCATGTTGGGGCCTGCAGTGGGGCTGTGTAGACAGAAGGGGTGAGGCCTGGCAGCACAGCAGGACCAGCAGGGACAGCCATGGGAGGTGCTCCGGTACCCGCTCCCCTCCAGGGCTCTCACAGCCTTGAGTTTGGCCCACATGGTGTTTAAAGATTTTTTATTTATTCAGTTTTTTCCCCCCAAAGCCCCAGTAGATAGCTGTATGTCATAGGTTCACATCCTTCTAGTTGCCGTACGCGGGACTCGGCCTCACGTTGGACGGAGAAGTGGTGCCTCCGGGCGCTCCCGGGATCCGAACCCGGGCCGCCAGCATCAGAGCGCGCGCACTCAACCGCCAAGCCACGGAGCCAGCCCTACCACATGGTGTTTAAAATGCCCTAGTTCTAGTTGCCAATGTTAAAATTGAGAAGCTTTATGTACGTCTGATTTGTGACATCTCTAGTAAGATTGGAGAATGTGACATCAGGCCCACTGGGCAATAGCTGGCTCGCCCTGGGATGGCTGCCCCCTTTGTTGGGCACCCCTGCCATGTACTCTAGGCCAGGGCCCCTCTCTTCACTCCTCTCTAAAACCCACCTGGGCCCTGGAGGCATTTGAGTCTGCAACCCTGAGTCATTCACCTGGGGAGTCACTCAATGCCTCCTTCAACACCCAATGGCTGCGCACCACTATGCGCAGGTACCTAGTGTGTGCTGGGCTCCAGCTCCTCAGTGCCGGCCGAGATGGGCAGACAGCACCCTCTTCCCTGCACCCTGCACCCCTTCTTGGTTTTCAAAGTTTGTTTTTTGCTCATAACTACCCAGGCAGACAAGTGGAGCCAAGATGACCACCCCCACTTTTCAGATGGGGAAACTGAAACCCTGAGACTGAGCCAGAACCTAAACCTGGGATTCCACTAATTAAGCCCCCACTTCATTCAGGCACCAGGGCCATGAAAGACCCCGCCCACATCACTGTGCTGACCCTTCTGAACCCGAGCCCCTTGAGGCCAGGTGCTCCTCGCCTACGTGGAAGGTTGCCTGCACCTTCAAACTTATTTTTTTCCAAATATAAAGCTATTTTAATGTTGAATGTAATGCTGAATGTGCTTTTTAAAGCACACAGGTCGGCCCCACACTTCCCCATTCCTTGCTGTTCCTCAAATCGAGGGTCACTACAGGAAATGACCCTGAGGGTCTTCTCGGGTTGCCATTCATGGAGGACACTCACATGTGCAAGCCCACATATGCACACTCATACACCTACACGGACACTGGCTCCGGGTCTAGGCCCCACACCTGAGGATGCTCCATAACATGGTTGAAGAAACACTCAGTGATATGCATGCACATACATATGTACTCACTCCATCCTGAACATAAGCCGACATAGAGGCAGACTCAGACGCACCCCTACCCACACACTCGTACGTGCGCACAGGCAACAGCCACCCTGCTCCTGGGACAACTGCCCCCAGCTCCTCCACAAGGCAGGCCCAGCAGCAGCCAGGTCTGCCAGGAGCTCCTAGCCCAGATGAGCTCACAGGAAACACTGACCTCAGCCTGCGGCCCAACCCAGTGGTCTGGCCAGTCCTCAGGCCAGCAGCCAGAGTAGAGGGGAAGGACCAGGCAGGGCAGACCCTACCATGTCCCCTGCCTGGGCCTGGCTCCTACTCAGAGGGAGGAGAGTGGGTATGCGAACTGATGTCTGAGTCCAAGCCCCAAAGCCTTCAGCCTGAGACCAGCCAGGCCAGCCGCCATGACCTCTCGGTGGGCAGGGAGGGAGAGCCAGCTGTGGGCTGCTGCTGGCTCCTCCCTGGGCTGGAGCATGCATGAGTGTGCAAGTTGGTGTGTGTGAGGGTGCATGTGGGTGTGACTGACCAGCTGTGGAAATGTGTGTGCCTGTGAGGACGTGTGAGTGGGTGGCACGTGGTGTGCACTCAGTTAATGTTGAAGTGAAGAGCGAACTGCCGTAGGCCTGGCTGGGAGCGTATGTAGGAGGCTGGGTGAGTGTCCCAAACCCCCAGGCAAAGAGGACATCATGCCCTTCCTGCCACCCTGCCTGGCCTGGGGATACAGAATGATCGGCAGGGCCCCTGCACAGCACACACTTGCCACATGTCTGCGTCCACATTCCCAGGACCTGACCCCAGCTGATGTGGCTCAGCCTCGTGCTTCCCCACTGGATAACCGTGAGACCCAGGGAGGGCAATGACAATTTCTGAGTGTCTCAGAGGATGAAGGTTGGGCAGGCAGGTGGGCAGGGACAAAGGAGGAGTAGTTGTGCTGCAGGGGCTAGGCTCCCGGGGGAGAGGGGTCAGGGCAGCCCCGGGTGGCAAAACGATAGTCAGGCTGCCTGGGTGCAAGACCCTGACACCAACTCTGCCTTGGCTGTAGGACTCTGTGCAGATCCCTTGGCCTCTCTGAGTCTCAGTCACCCTCATCTTCCAGAGGAGAAATGGTCCCTTGGTGCAGGGTTGTGACGATGATGAGAACTTGTTTGGGCCAAGAGCCAGCGTCAATCCCATAGGCCTCGGGGTGGGGGCCTCTTACCATCATCACTCCTCCTGCTGGCATCACCCATCTCTCACCTGTGCACCTCCCTTCACAGTTTACAAAGTACATTCATATCCCCCACCACATCCACTCCACCCACCCAACGGCCTGGGAAGACAGTCCTGAGAACTGACCCCACTTCTCAGATAGGGAAACCAAGTCTCCAGGAACATAGGGCTGCTCATCCTGGAGCAGTGGGTGCACCAAACACCTGGCCAGCTCCTTCTTCCCATCACTTCCCTTTGGGGCCCAGTCCAGATGGCCCATGGGCTCCATGACCTCCTCTGCCTCCAGGTTACCCAGCAGGAGCTGGCCATGGGGACTGCCCAGGGCTGTATGGAGGAGACAGGTCAGAAAAGCCCTAGGAGTATGAGGCCAAGCCCAGCCCCTCAGGCTGCCCCTCAGGCCTGCCCTCCAGCTCTCAACAGTCACACTCAGAGCAGCCGTGCTCGCAGTTACTTAGAAGCCACTGAGGGAAAACCACAACCACAGCAGGCCCCAGCCCCGGCCCCAAACCTGCATAGCCAGGCCACAGCACTGTGAGGAGGGGTACCTGTGGGCTGCGTGGGCTGCCGTGGGGCTACTTGGCAGTAACCCTAGGGTTAGGTCACCTAGCCCCAACTCTCTAGGACTAAAACTAGAGCATGCACCCTGGCTGGGTTCCACCACCTCCTCCACCCCACTTGCACTGCCTGGACACCAGGCGGGAGACAGACACCATGAGGTAGCATCTTCTTCCATCGCCGTGTGACCCTGAGAGAGGTCCTGGTCCCCTGCACCCCAGGTACCCCCCCTGCACAGCGGAGCCAGAGTTGCTCACCTACCTCACAGAGCGTCTGAACACGGGTGGGAAGGCCGGGGAGTGAAGTAACAGCACAAAAGCAAGGTGTGCCGACTATTTATAGCCCCCATGCAAATAGGCCCAGGCCCATTGGCCCCAAAGGAAGGCCCTTGCTCAGCCTCATCACCACTCTGCCAGGCCATGGAGGTGGCAGGGGCTGGACACACACAGGCCTCCATGGGGACCAGCTCCTTGGAGCCAGCTGAGACCAGCCAGGCCTTTCCCGGCCACCTGTGGGCTCCTAGTCTCTACTTTCCTGCTTCTCCAGCCCACAGTGGAGGCAGCCCTATGAAGCAGAGAGCACCAGACTCGGAGTCAACGGATCTGGGTATGAATCTCAGAGCCCCCGCTTATAAGAAAAATCATCCTTCTCTGAGGCCAACATGTACCAGATTAGCCTTGTAATGGCATTCACTCACCTTATCCCTGTGCAGGTCCCAGGTCCTACGTCATCTTTTACTGACAAAAAAAGGCTCAGAGAGGCTAAGTGACTTGCCCAGTGTCACAGCCGATAAGTGGTAGGAGAAGGATTTGAATCCAGGCCTGCCTAGGGTTGCAGCCCACATTCTTTCCAGTATGCCATGTCAGGAAGAAGACATGAAGGGAAAGAGAGGGCAGAGGTAGAGAGAGATAAATTTGCCAGGAGCAGTACACAGAGATACACTCACGAGGACAGAGAAAACAAACAGAGGGGTGAGGGCACCAAAGACAGGTACCCTCTGCTTGACCAGAGTCTATCCACCAAGCCCCTCCATGCTGGTCGTAAGGCTGACCTTGAGGACACCCCACCCCTTATGTACAAGGAGGGTGGTACAGAGTCCTGATCTGCTGCCTTCCCTCCTGTCCCAGCCACTTGGGCCAGCCTCCGGTTCTCAAAACCTGGGCAAGGCTTGGCCGTACTGGATCCCAGCCGCAGAGGATGAGGGCCCGCTGGCCCCGCTCCCCACCCTGCCCTAGACCAGCAGCCCAGAGATAAGGACAGATGGTGCTGGGCCAGGCCAGAGCAGGCAGGTCACCTTCTCTGGGGCAACGGAAACCTGCTCCCAGTCCAGGGCAGTGGGCAAGGCCAACCTTGAGGTGACCAGAGTGACTGTGCCATTCAGAGCTCCCAGGGCACAGAGGACAAGTGTGCATGTTGCATGCACATCCACATGTGTGAGTACGAGGATATTCCAGCAAAGGGGGCAGGGTGAGGGACATGACTTGAGGGGAACCATCGGGAACAGGAATGCATTTTCTTTTTTTTTTTTTTTTTTTAAGATTTTTATTTATTCATTTTTTTCCCCCCAAAGCCCCAGTAGATAGTTGTATGTCATAGGTTCACATCCTTCTAGTTGCTGTACGTGGGACTCGGCCTGGGGTTGGACGGAGAAGTGGTGCCTTGGGGCGTGCCCGGGATCCGAACCCAGGCCACCAGCATCAGAGCGCGCGCACTTAACCGCTAAGCCACGGAGCCGGCCCAGGAATGCATTTTCTAATTTTTCTACAACAACCACCTGTAACTTGTTTGATAACAATTTTGTTAAAGGTGAAAAACAAAACCCATCAAGCCAAAATATCTCCAAGAGATGGGCCTTTTGAGACTGACATGCCCATCTCCTCTTTGTACAGAGGAGGAAACCAAGGATGAGGTCCTGCAGTGAGGGT